GGCTTCTGCCTTAGGGGTTATGAATCTAAAATATTTTATAAGTGTTACTCTATTAAAAATTATTGTACAGATGAACATGCCCCTGTTCTGCCATATCTGAGGATGGTGGATTCTTCTCCATCCTCAGACAACCATACACAAAATGGTAAATACCAAAAGATTGGGGGTGAGATTATACTAATTACCGAGGTCATCCAGTTGTCTGGCTTGTTTAATTCCTTAGATTGATGCCCTTATTCTAATGCCATCCACCTGCCCCCACCCCTTTATGCTTCGTTAGGAAATACAGAAGGGCAAGGGATTCAAATGGTGCCAGTATTTCCTCTTTCCCACTACATAATCCCTGGAGTAATAATTTGGTTAGATCTGTTTGGAAATAAACTCATACCATTAAATCACAGCAACTGGAAGACCTATTTTATAATCATTAACTTAATGTCACATTTAGTCCAGACAGAATATTATAAACAGAAGCTCCAGCCTCGAATTTAAATGTATAGTCATGTATTTCTCAGAGACAAGAACACTTTATAATCTATGCTGCCGTCACTCACTAATTAATTGTTGAATTAAGTAGGGTGAACCCTCCCATCCCATGCATTATGGGAGGTTCACAATCCCTAGAATTTGTATCCTCAGATTTAATTTATTGCTTCCATTGAACATCATCCCAGTCCTGTGCCCTATTTCCATTTCTTAATGTCCATAACCCTGCTTGCCCTGCACATTTCCCTTATTCTTTGTTATCTAAAGCAACACCACCATAAGACAAGCTACTACACTATGCCCAGATCAGGGAGCAGTGGAGGAACCAGGGCTAATGTCACAGTTCAGAACAGCAAAACCATGAAGTGGTCCAGGAGACATCCCCTTTCAAAGGTTCTCTAGACTACCCAGTAACAGACACAGGCCAGCCACCCTTTGTCCTCAGGTGCCAGCCTCCTGCACATTGCTGCCCCCATCTCTGTCCACCTCGTGCCTTCACACTGTCTCAGATTGTCAGCACAACTCCAAACTTCTCAAAGGAAAGTGAGAAACTCTTTCTTTCTGTCCCCAGATTATGCCCCTGGGTTATAGAAGGTGAAAATCACCTTTCCTACTAAAGGAGGCCCAAAGAGATCTCTGATTACCAGAAATTCTGCCTTTCTCCTAACTCAGACAATAGCTAGAGCAAAAGTTCCTTCCTTCCTACTACACAGCATTTCACTGTTATAACAAAGTATGATTACTAGGCCATGAGACTGAGTCCACAAGTAGGACTGTCACACATCTGCCTCAGCATTTAATAGTCTTTGTATTGAAGGAACATCATACATATGGCCTGATCCTGTGTTGGAACTGGTGCTAGCCAGTGACCTTCACTAATCCTTTTAGATGTTCATAGTACTGGAACTGTGGGTCATTGGACCAGGTCTGCAGGTGGCAACAGTGTGGCTGGGGGATGAAATTAATGAGAACTGTTGTGTTAAGAGGCAGCTAAATTCTGTTGTAATGCCAAATTCTAGCTGTGGAAGCACTGTGAAGGAAACTCCATCTAAAGACTTACTGCCCAGGATCATGCCAGGGACTTCTGTGTCGCTCACCACACACCATGCTAAGGAATCTTACATACCTGCCTCTTTCTCCCAACTCAGCTGTAGGCTTCCAGAGAACAGGAATCATTGCTCTCCTTTCTGAGGGTCCACTGTGGGTCCTGCAGAGTACACTATACACATTGCCAAATGGTAACTAATAACCCATGTTTTTCATCCAGGGAATGAGAACTCTTGCTTAGGTTGGTACACAGCCCATGGTGCTCACACCGTGAGTCAGCAGACACAGCCCTGGCTGCTTCCCTCCTCTGGATCATGTATAGAGATTGTTCTTGGGTCAATTTTCTCTTTTGTTGCTGGAAATTTGATTTACTTTAACCAGGATATTTTTGGACTCATGCTGGAAGAACATTTTGCCCAAAAATATGCAACACTGTCAGAACTATGTTCTTCCTTATCTAAAGACTCAGGATGCAGCTGGGTGCTGGTGGCTCACACCTGTAATCCCAGCTACTCAGGTAGCAGAGATCAGAGGATCTTGGTTCAAAGCCAGCCCTGGGCAAATAGTTCATGAGACCTTATCCCAAGAATACCCAACACAAAAAGAGTGGCTCATTGTAGAGTGCCTATCTAGCAAGCACAAAGCCCTGAGTTCAACCCCCAGTACCACCAAAAATAAAAAAGACTTAAGATACTCTAGAAACATATTATTTCATATTCTTCTCCAAGATTATTCATTAAATAGCTGTGGGATTCAGCAAAAGCTAAAAAGAAAGGTGATATCATTTCTATTCCAATGTTGTTTTTCTTCTGTGAGAAAAACATAGAAGTGTTCCTCCATTTTCTTACTTTTAAAGTCTGCAGCTACACTCTATATTTCACCTAGCTTAATTGATTTTTATGCCTCCCCATCCCTGCCACTTCAGCAGCTTGGTGACTTCACAAATCATCTTTCAAGGAGCCTGGAGATACATGGCCAGCATCAGAGATAGGAGGCAAATTTCATTCTTTTGACTTAAATGTGAATTTTATGATCATGCAATCTGTTTCTCTTTAGAACTTGAACTCTAAGGATTTGAGAATGAGCCTTGCCCTAAAATATCACCTAGTCACCTTAAATTACCTGAGATATTTCAAAATAGAAAGCTTTCCATTAAAGAGATAAACATATCACTTTCATGAAAGAAAACATCCAAGCATGACAGGACTTCAAAATGGAATGTCTCCCATCTCAGTGGGAAGGTGTCACAGTTTGTCTCTACAAATAACAACATAATGCAATAGGGTGTGATGTGTTGGACATTTGTGGATGAAATAAATACAAGCTAATTACATCAGCAAGCTGTCTTCTATGCACACATACATTTAAATGTCCTACCAATATTCAGAGAAAGGATCTCTATTGAGCTGAAGGTTAAGTTTTCTCTCTCTGTTTTCACATTAGAAGAAACAGCATCTCAATTCTTGTTTTTGGCGTGACCACGCTGAATATGAAAATGCACTTCCCAAATCAACTTGATACATTCCCTCACACAAGCATATATTATTTACTTGTGCCTCATGTCCTGAACCCTGTGGCAGTCCAGCTTCCTACAGGACTTTCTAAAAGTCATGCATTGCTACAAACTGCCTTTGAGACTGCCAAAGTCTCAATATGCATCTTACCATTTCCCACATGTGGATGACCTCCTTTTAAAAGGATCTGGCATTCCAGGTATCTTGAAGTACTCACCACCAATTTCTATTGTAAAAGGCCATCCTCAGAATGACTTTCTATTTGGAACGTGGAAGAAATAAATCAATGAGACCCTTGCATCTCCCTGAGCAGCTACTTCTTTCTGAAAGGTCACCACTGTGGCACAATGGGCAACTGGACAGTGCCAGGCATCTGCAGGGCTGGGCTGCCAAGTGAGGGGGGAGAAGGCAAACACTGGTCTGCTCAAAGCCAGAATTGAACAATGCAGTACTGAACAGGTTCTCCCTACACATCTTTCATTTCCATATTTCCTAAGCAAGATTTCAAGTAGCTGATGCTATGTCAACTTCTCATCATTTTGACAGTAGTTGGGTCCCATGTCAGTCCACCTGTAATTCTGAGTATTATAAAGCCAGGACTGTGGCCAAAAATCTAACCCTTGCTACTCAAAGCATGGTCCACAGGCAAAAAGCAAGGGCATGAGCTTGTTAAGAAGACAGACTCTCATCCCTGACCTCAATTCAGAGACTGCATCTTCACAAAATCCCCTGAAAGATGAAGAAGTGCTGTTATCTGGGAAGTTGATAGGGTGTGTAATGGGAGCCATGAGTTTTTCTGCAGAATCAAACTCAACAAAAGCTAGATGAGCAAACTTCTTTTGAGTGTAGTATAAACTTGCTGTTTATGTGTGATTTGGGGGTAAGTTGTATTACTTACCCTTTGAAAAAACAATTTTAAAAAATAACACTAATAATACTGATCACCTGGATGCTACTATGAGGATTAAGTGGGTTACAGGAGTAAAGGGTATCCAGCTGAGGGCCTGGCACATGGAGAGTACCCAGCAGACATTGGCTGTGGGTTGTTCTTTTCACTGATGTACTTTTAGACAATGAGGTAGGAAAGAACATCCAGTCTCAAGCACCTGCTAGTAGGAAAAGTCCAAGTCAGTCGTCCAACGAAACATATTGATTAAGTTTTTTAAAAAAGCAAGGTGTGGAAGTCACATCTTAGGGCAGCAGGCAGTCACCAGGAAGCTGGGAGACAACACAGCAGCCTACTGCTCAGAAAGAACCAGCAGAGTGGAGAAACAGATGGACCAAGATGTGAAACCAATATGAAGCAGGAGGCAAGCTGCAGGGCAGGGGGACCCATGTGAGGAGAGGCAGGCTGGCTCTGGAGTGGTGAAGCTTGCCCTGAGCTGCTGCCTCTGTGAAGGCTACAGGTGCCCACTTGGGACTTGGGCAGGTCCTGAGACTCTACCTTTTCTTTTTACTTGTGGGTCTAAGCCATGCAGAACTGCTCACTACATTCTATTTTACTCTTTTATGGCTCTCTCTTTTCCCCTCTACTTGGGCCCTCTCTTTTGTTTCTTCCATATTAGCTATATATGATGCCAAGTTACTGTCAATTCCCCAGGAGGGGGTAGGGTCAGAACAAGGTGAGAAGCCAGGACAACCACTGGATGACAGTCTGCAGGTTTAAGAGAGGCTCACCTGTGTTTGGTCTGGAACTAGGTCTTGGCATAGGATTGGGAAAAGGTAGGAAGAATGGAGCCTCCTTTTTAAAAAGTATTAATTTATAACAATGTTTTTAAGGTAATGGTAAAGAGTATATTGGTGTTTTTCCTTTGCTCTGTCAGAAGCTCTGTAATGTAGTTTTAGTCAGATGCAGGTCTTTAAGAAATATGTTGTTTAATAACGATGGTGATGCATTTCGTGTTGACCACATGTTGGTATTTCTATGAAATAACACAAAAAGCCTCTGTGTACTTGCAGTGAACGCAGCCTTCTTGAGAAGACAGCAGACGCCTTCAGCCCTCGGACAATTCTGTGAGTGGCTCATCTCCCAAGGCAAGCTTGCACAAAGATAGAACTCAAGGCTTGAATCGAAGCATCAGGCTAGTGGCCCACCTGCACATAAAAGGTCCAGTACAAGCCTCACTCAAGCACATATTCATGTGTAAACAGCAACCCTGTCAGCAATATTAAGGCCTATTCTCATGTACTACTTTCCTGTAAGCATTGTCCTGATTTATTTATTTGGCCTCCCTCCCTCAGAGCCCTCTCCACTGGACTGAGTAAAAAGTCAGCAGCAAACTTAATGGTGTCTTACCAGAAACCTACATCAGGTCTTGAGCTCCAACCCCAGTCAGCACTATTACCAGACATTTTTTTCTTTGCTAAGGGTTACTGCCAATGAGAGGGATGCTTTTCATAACATAACAACATAACATTTCTTACGAAAACCCACCTGCATAATCTGTTACATTTATGAGACAGATAGTGACATAAAACAGAAAGAAACCAAAGGATTACTCAGTGAAGGAATGGGGAGGGAGAGGAGAGGAGAAGAAGCAAGTAGGGGTAAAGGAAGAAAAGAGAGGAGGGAGGAGAAAAGTAAGGCAAGACATGGAGATGGGAGGGGAGATCATTGGACAGGACTCATAAGTCCTGCACCTGACATTTACTGGCCTTACTTCTAAGCAAGTCTCTTGTCCCCTCTAAGGCTCAAGTCACTCACAAAAATGGGGAAGACAACCTCAAGGATCTGGTAAAGATGAAATGATAATATGCGGCAGTTGCTCTGTGTACTGTACATCATCGTAAAATTAACATTTCTTTTGTTCTGACTAGGATGAATTACACACATAAAGAGTAACAGAAATGGTAGTTAACACTCAAGACAATTGAGAATTTTTCCCCACTATTCATTAAGTAGGCTTAATCACAAGTGAGCTCACGATATAGAAAGCAAGAGCGTTTTTTTTTTTTTTTGCTTCCATACTTTGGCTTTATTGTTGCACCTAAGTTCACTTCTCCTCTCACAGACACATCTTTTTCCCTCTTCTCACACATATAAACCTGTTTTGAGTTTTGAGTACATGGTATGTCCTCCAATTGCATGAAAATTCCTTTCACACACTTTAGAATCTGCCCTAGCTTATCTGGGGATACTTTTCCTGCCACATACAGAATAAGAAGTCACGACAAGCTCATTAACAAGAGGGGCCCAATAGGCTCCTGCAGAAATTCTGAAGGCTCCAGAGATGCTGTCCATCTAAATTGGGAAGGGAAATGAACACGCACAGAGAATGTATTTGATATACTTCCTATGGGAGTGTTTGCTTAGAATGGCACCATAAAAATCCCACCAGAAATAAGCCTTCCTCCCCTTCAAAATAAAATAAAATTCCCAAATTGCTACTGAGTCTGTGAGATTTCAAGCACATTAAACACTAAAATATTCTGGAAATGGAAAAGCCTGTTCTAAACGTGCAGGCACAAAGAACATACACATCTGCACATCGGAGGGGCAAGGTACACTTTGGAGAAAGAGCTGACACAGTTGGGGGGAAGTGTGACTGCTGACACCCAATATGTGGTTCTGTAGTAGAAATCACAGTCGCAATCTGGGCATCCTCAGGGTCATGGTTACAGTAGCATGGGGTGATGGGATGCTGGGGCAGAGAAGGTCTCTAGATCAAAGTAGCAAGTCACCACACATAGGAGGTTACAGAACTTAGGGACCAGGAGGAGATCTGAGTGTCCCATGGGTACAGTGGTAGTGCAAAATGAACTTGTTTGGTGAACACATGGCAGAATATCCCCAAGAAGCACATCAAAATACCCAAGAATATTTTACTCCACTGCCACGTAGATTAAAATGAAGTCATGTTAAAAGACATTTCCAGAGCTCTGTGTTCTCTCCTGCTGGTATAAGACCTCTGGCCTCTCCAAGTCTTTTTTTTTTCTTTTTTTTATTGTTGTGCTGGGGGTACATTTACAAAAGTTCTTACAATATATCATAGTTGAATTCACCCCCCATCATTCTCCTTTTTCTCCTCCCCCAACTCCTGGAATAGTTTCAACACCCCTGTAAGTCCTGCTTGGGAATTTCTGCCAAGTACTGGTAACTGCTTAGGCCATGACTTCCTGTACCAGTGCCCTGATGCTTCCTGGTGCCCAAGCCCACAGCTCAGGTGCAGGAAGGAGAAGATGGGGTCATCCTCCTTGTCACACTCCATTGGAGTGCTGACAACAGCACCTCATATAGTCTTTCCTTGCCTAAGGCACTGTTCTCCCTGGGACTCAGGTCCAGTTAGGGTAGAGTTCTAGTCTCCACCCTGTACTCAGGTCTCCTGCTTAGGTTTTTTTTTGTTTTTCCCCAGCCAACTGATGATGGGATTCTTGCAGGCCATCTGCTGGATTTCAGGACACTACCAGACACAGTGCAGACGTGAAATGGGATTCCTCCCATCCTTTTGAATGATGTTGGTAAATTTTCTGTAAGGCCAATGAAGTTTCCTGGGCATCCTGACTAGTCAGGGTTCCAGTTATCCAGGATTACCAGAATCTAGATGTAGCTCTGTGGACTGAAAGCCAAAGACAGACTTTAATATGTTTAAATGTAAACATATTAAACTCTGGGAACATATTAGTTCCCAGAGGCTTGGGAACTAAGGCTTCCTGAACACTACTGATATGCCAAGAGCTGTGCTATGTACCTCATTCTCCCAGGAAAAGCAGAGTTTGACATTTATTTCTCCATTTTATAGTGGGGACATCAAAACTTTCTAATGTCATGTCTTTTGCTAAAGGTCAAAAGACTATTAAGAGGAAGAGCTGGGACTCAGAATGCAGATAGACCACTCTCACTCTATCCCCCTTTTCCATATGAATTAAGTTCAGCAACTCTAGACACAAGTGCACATGTGTGTATGTCTTCTGTGAGCATGAACACAAACCTATGCAAAGACACACACACTCCCAGACCAATCGCAAGGATTGTAATTAAGCTCTTCTAACACTCAGGCACTGTGAGAATAAGCAGCTTTAACTAGGGCAGCCTTAATTTAGAACTGGGGCGGGACAGATAGTAACACAAGTCAACTTAATTGGCATTTTAATTATTTTTAAGATCAAGAAGATCAAGTCACACTTAAAGCTTCAGAAGCTGAGAATAAAATGGTGGGCTTAGATGTGACCTGGAGAGGAATGCTGGGCTTCAATTATGGAGACCCTGTATCATGCTGGCTCTTGGTGGGAGCTGTAACACACAGTTCCTCCCACATGATCTGGTTGTCATGGCTTTTGCTGGAAGAAGCAGGTCTGGGAATACAGACAGATGGGTGGTGTCCAGTGAGCAGTAACCAACATATTGTTTTAAGTGACTGAGCTTCAGAGGAGTTTGTTACGCAATATTGCTGAGGTATTAGCTGACAGCTATAGGAAGAACCTTTCGAGTCATAAGACGATTGTGAAAGGGCCTTCCTCAATATTCTAGTACAGATAACAGACTAACCACTCTGCTAGAGTTCGTTTTTATTTTTCCCTCTCAAAGTCCCACATTAAAATATGTGCCTCTATTTAATTAACTTTATTTTTTAAAAAAGTATAAAGTATACATTCTTTATTTAGAAAAAAAATCAGATGTAACAGAATATAAAATTGTAAGTTTCAAAAGATGCATCTGGATGCAATAAATATAACATGTCCATCAAGGCTACTGATCAAATGCACACTTTCAAAGGAAAGTATAAAATAAAAGTACCAGACATTTCCAAAACCCTGCAACTCTTCCAACTCTGTGCCCAGAGGCCCCAGTGATGTTCACAAGGGCTCCTCTGGCACTCTGAAGCTCACTCATAGTCCTGAGGGGAAGAGAAAGATTCCCCTGAGCTGGGAGGCCTCTGGATTCTGTGTGTGGCTCTCCCAAGATCCCGCTCCAGCCAAGGCACAGACAGCTTCACAGCACCTTCAAAAAGCTTGCAAGGCAGGAGTCTCCCTGGACTGCTGCCTGATTCCATCCAAGAACCTGAGAAACCAAGGAACAGGCTGGGGTACAGGCAGTGAAGGAGAACAGCAGTGAGCAGCTGCATGGGGAACACTTCCAGAGTCAGTCAAAGTAAAGGGTGGGTCACCAGGGAGAGCCCAGTGAAGTCAGTGTAAATCCTCCCCAAACAGTCCAGCTAGAAAAGCAAGCACCTCAACAGAAAGGGTGTGTATAAGAGTCCCTCAAGCACAGTGGGAAGGCAGTGAAGGAAAGTGCACCTTGTACAGAGGACAGTGTAAGAGCACACTCCCAGGGAGTCACTGAAGAACCCAAGCTGTCTCTATTGTGTGTAACAAATCACCACCCCTGCTTAGCTCCCAGTCCCCTAAGTCACAAGTCCAGCACGGCTTGGCTGGGTTCTCTGCTCAAGGTCTCATGAGGTTCAACTCAAGGTGTCAGTGGGCCTGTGTTTTCCTCTGAGGCTTGGGATCCCCTTCTGCATCATCCATGCTATTGGCAGAATTCTGCTGCTTGCTGCCATAGTGCTGTGATTCCCATCTTCTTGCTGTATAGCCTTCTCCTCACACAGCATGGCAGCAGGAGGCCATCAGTGTCTGCTGCTGCTTCATCTCTTTTAAGAACTTACATGATTAGATCACACCTATACCTTTCAGTTATTTGACTGGGGACCTTAATTGCATCTGCCAAATACCTTTGTCTTTGCCACTTAAAGTAACCTAGTCATGGAAGTGCCTGCCTATCATGTTCTCAGGTTCCTCTCACCCTCAGGAGAGAAGACAGTTCAGAGCATGCACAGCAGGAGCTAGGAATCCTGGGAACAATCTTAGAAGTCTGCCCAGTACTCCATGAAAGCCCCCAAGAGAAACGGCTGTAATATGCATGGAGACCTAAGACAGCAAAGCCATTCTGTGCTGTGGCCAGGCAGGCCCAGGATTCCTGCTTCCTGAATGGCTTGATTCCCATTAAAACAACAGAAAAGGAATGGTTGGAAGTACAAGGCTGGAATAGCAGGTGAGCCACATGCACTTTAAACAGTTGACACATGCATCAAATACATATTTACATGCTTTAATTATATCTACTTAAGATAACAGCATAAAAAAATAATACTTGTGAAAAAGTTGACAATGAATTGCTTACTAAAATCCTTCTCCCTCTCCCCACCCTGTAGCCTCCAAAACACTTGGATTCACTACCGGGCTTTTAAGTGTCTGATTCATTCAAAGAAATAAAAATACACTTGGCCAAGATATGACAAATCTAAATATTCAGGATATGGCTTTTGAGGCTAATGCCCCATTATTTTGGTTCCCTTTTTTGTAGTGTGTAAGTTTTACTTGAATGACATGGATAAGAACTGTTCAGTATTTTAAGCAGGTGCTATATTCTACAACATGAAGCTAAGTAAGTTAGTCACATCTCCAAAAATAGATTTTACTTGCACAGTTATTTTTTAAAATGAAATTAGCCCTTAAGACCACTCAATGCAGACATGCAGATCTTCAAGAATCTGGAGGAAAAAAAATACACGTAAAAGATGTACTGTTGAGCACATTTACATGGATGGGATACAATGTAATAGTATGCAAATGTAAAAAACTGGTTTGCTGTAGAAGCTTTTCTAAAATTGTTTATGAATAAGGTTCCATTTTCAAGGGGCTGTCTGGGCAGTATTCTGCATAAGAGCAAGGACATCAAACAAGCTGGCCAGAGAATTACGCAGCTCCTCCAGAGAGCAAAAACTCAGCCTGATACCATCACTGCTGAAAAGTAGGCAGGAATATTGAAGCATTTATTTCTTTAAACACAATAAACATCAGAAATATTTTTGTTTCAATATACTGCTGTAGAGGGGAAATGACTCAAATAAGCAACCAACAAATAACTTTGTTAGGTACATTCTAAGAATGAAGTACGTCAACATAATCCTATAAAATAGGGACTTAGTACTGCAGACAGGAGACCTGGGCACCATACGTGCAATAACATTCATGAAAACAAAACTAAGCATTGGAGATGATCACTCAGTAGCCTTAGAGAAATCACAGATTTCAAATTATGTTTCCAGCGATGACTGTTACCATTGCTAGTTTTCCATAGCTCTCATTCTTGTCTTAAGATACTTCCCATATTTAATTTTTATGCTAAAACACAGAGCAAGTAAGCCACAGGGCTGAGATAAAACTCAGATGGCTCCTAGTCATCTGCTCATTGAATGAATAACAGGACAGTGATGACTTCCAAATCAGTAACTGCTCCCTTTTGCCTCCTCACACAACCTATATAAAAACACAATGGTGATAAAGGAAGACTGTGATCTTAGGGTTTTTGTGCCACTTCCCAATTCATACCACTGGCAGTACAGGCAGCATAGGTACTCAGAGAGGATGTCAATGAAGACAAACTGTCATAATTTGAAATCTCCTGGGGTTTGAACTCAGAGCTTCACACTTAGTAGACAGGTGCACTACTGTTTGAGCCATGCTTCCACTCTTTTTGCTCTGGTTATTTTGAAGATAGGTTCTTGCCTTTTCTCAGGCCAGAATGGACCATTATCCTCCTATTTCAACTTCCTTTTGTAGATAGGATGACAGGCATGAGCCAGCACACTCAATTTTTTTCCCACTGAGATGGGTTCTTACAAACATTTTTGTTCAGGATAGCCTGGAACTGCTATCCTCCAATCTCAGCCTTCCACATAGCTTGGAATGACAGGCATACAACATTGTACCCAGCTATTGGTTGAGATGGGGTCTCGCAAACTTTTTCCCAGGCTGGAATCAAATGGCAATCCACCGGATCTCAGCCTCCCAAGTACCTAGGATTACAGGTGTAAGCCACTAGAATCTGGTTTCTGGTTATTTTATTGTACCCTATCTCTAATGAGAGCAAGTGCTGAAGGTTCTTAATGACTCTAGAAAATCTTCCAAAACAGGACAATTTTTAGACCTGAATCAAATTACAAAATAGTCTAATTATATAAATATGCTTAACAAGAAGACAATTAACCTTCCCAATCAATTTTTACAAATAT